ATTAAAAAGATACTGTGTTTCAAAATGTTGTGTTGTTTGGCATCTCGCATTTCGATTCTTCAGCTATTTCGATGCCTTCAACCCAGTAGGTCATTCTTGGAGTTCTTATATAAGTAAAATACTAGAGAAGGGTCGAATTTTTTGTAGTAATTAATTTATGCATTGCGGAAGTTTCTTCTTTCAGTTCCCTGACAGATGTTTATTCCGGAGAATGAAAGTGAAATTCTTATCTTATTCATACCCAATTTTTTCAAAAAGTAATGATTTTTGGTTCGATTTTCTAGAATTCAGTTTCTGTGCTGTGTTTCTAAGTGAAGCTCGTTTACAGCAATAGCAGATATTATAACTGATGGGTGCCCAGTGCTGCAAGCCTGCAATCTCTAACTTTCTTTCTAAGTGCTTTTAATGCTGGTGCAGCTTGTATTATCCAGGATTTTCTAGTTTTCTGCCAATGTCTGTAACTTGAAGCAATATTGGGTTGTGTATTTTGGTGCTCCATAGGAACATGAAAGCTTGGAATTATAATAGTTGAAGACGAGCAAGATGGGGAATAAATTACTCACAAGGATATAAATCTGAGTTCCACACGTATTCTTGATGGAGAATTATAAGAGTAGAAGAATATGAAAGGAAGATGAGCAAGATGGAAACAAAATATATGGTCACATTATTGTTCCCTTACATATAATTTCATCCAAGCACATATGTTTTATAATATGGTGACATCTCGGAGTTTTATATATGTTCACAATATCGTTCCCCCACATATAATTCGATGTTCACATATGTTTTATGTATGGTCACATTATTATTTCCTCATATCAGTTCTTGCTATATAAATGAATCTGTTATTTCATACTTCCAGTTGAGTTCTAGTCCTTGTTAATTTTCGAATCCTTTTCAATTGTTCTAAGTCCTTGTCAATTTTTGGCGGAACTTGTTTTCAATCGTCTTTACTATAACTTTAAAAATTATAGAATACTTGATTAATAAAATTATAAGTATATTTTAAATTTTAATAACTTTTTGTATTTTTTTTCTTAGATTTTTATATATGATATATTAAATTAATAATTTTTTGACAATATTTGGTTGGATTTTCATATTACATTACAAGAAAATAAATAAATATATACTACATTACAAGAAAATAATTAAATAATGAATTTTATGTGGATTTTTGATTTAATATTCATACTACATGTAAAAAATTAATTAAGAACAAAACTACTTGACCCAAACTACTTGACCGGGTTTGTATTGCCTTTCGTTTGTATAGTACTTTTGGATGGTGTGTATTCTACTTTTGTGTTCTTGTCTATTAGGAATACTAATGTATAATTTTGACAGCATATATATTAACAAATATCATTCAATTTATAATATAACTTTAGAAATGAATTAAAATTTTCTTTTATTTTCTTTAGTGAGGTAATATGTTTTTTGTTTGGCAAAATGTGTACAAATAAATATCAAAAAACTATAATGTAACCTACGACTTAGATTACAAATTGAATTTTTTCCTCAAACTTAGTTAATATTCTAGTAAATACTATATAAATGTTTAGCAAATAAATTAATCTTACATAAATAATTAAATATGTGTAAAATAATATATCTAATTTCATTTTATTTTGATATTAAAATAATTTAAAATAAAGAGTATTAATAAAAATACGGTGTGGAATAAAATGTAGAGCGAACGGTTAGAGATGATATTTGATTCTTGTTTAATTCTCTACTCTATAAGCGTAAAATCTATAAGCCTGAACAATTTTTCCTCAGTTTCTGATGGTCTCAATAGGCTACCCCTGAGCTTGAGAAATGTGAAATTTACCTCTCAGCTTCTGATGGGTTTAATTGGTAACTCTGAGCTCTACTTGGAATCTAAATAGCCATCCTAATTGACCTCTCGACTTCTGATGGGCTCAATTGGCAACCTCTATGCTTGGCAATTGGAATCCACTTGGAATCTAAATAGCCGTCCCAATTGATCTCTCAATCTCTGATGGGCTCCATTGGCTCAATTGGCTATTGACAATTGGAATCTACCTGATGGGCTCAATTGGCTACCTCTGAGCCTGGCGAATTGACCTCTCAACTTCTGATGGGCTTAATTGGCTACTTCTGAGCTTCTTCTTCTTCTTCTTCTTCTTCTTCTTCTTCTTCTTTNACTTCTGAGCTTGGCTATTGAAATATGCCTGGAACCTAACTGACTCTTGAAAGAAGTATACATACCTCTCCTTTCTACTCTTTGTCAATTTTTGGTGGGACATATTTTTATTCATTCTTACTTTAACTTTTAAAATATAAAAACTAGATTAATTAAATTATAAATATATTTTAAAATTTAATAACTCTTGTATTTTTTTCTTCAAATTTTTCATAATACTAAATTAATAATATTTTGACGATCTTAAATTTAGTATCCATACTGCATATACAAAAAATTAATTAAATACACTTTTATGAATCGGTCTTATGGGTGATGGTGTCATTTTAAATAGCAAATAATAATAATAATAATAATAATAATAATAACATATTTTTCAAGTATTACTAAAAAAATTAAACAAAACACCTAAACATATATATAACAATGAATAAAAATTCAAACCCACGTCGTAGTAATAAGGTCATAGTTGGGATGATCGGTGAAGGTATCACCCACGTGGCAGGATCCAGTCTCGTAAGGCAAAGCGCATCTTCCCACGTGTTGAAAACGGCACTACCACCTTAAAATTTGGGCAACCGGATTGTGTTGGCCGTGGCTTCTGTACGAGCCGTGTTGACGAAAAGGAGCTAAGGTACAACACCTTGTCCCCAATATCTTCCACCAAATTCCACCTCTTCAACTCCTCCAAGAGCCTATAAACTCTCACCTTGCTCTAGTCTCCGAAGGCAAACGCCTCGAAAACCCCGTCGAGCCACTTCACCTTGAACAAATAGTTCTCTTTTATATAACCCTTTTGGTTCGAAAGCACTTGTAACTCACGTCAAGTCGCCATTCAAACATGTCGAACGTGACAACATTCAGGGGCGTAGCTACATTTGGGCTATAACCCTGCCTAAAAGAATTAGAATAGCGTACCAGTATATTTATATCTATTTTTGTTTTGATTTAGCCTAATTAAAATTGAAAGATTTCTTTTATGCATTAGAACATCTTTTAATCTTAAAAGATTTCACTTTATTAACAATTTTTTTTAATTTTATTTTAATTAAAGACAATAAGAAAGTAAAATTTAATCGCTTTTAACATGTAATATGAATATTTAGGAACTTCAAATAATACAACTTTGATTTGAAAATTCTTTTTTTTTTTTTGGAGAAATGACAACTATGGTATGTTTTTTATATAGTAATAAATTATGAACAAATTTATATGAAAATATAATCTTCAAATTTATTTTTCCTTTTGATAGACGACTTTACAATTAATCTCTTGGTTTGAAATCACTGTCGGAAAAAGATAGAGAAAACAATTATCCCTAGAGTCGAAACTAAAAGGAATTTATAAACCCATGCTTCCATAAATTTGATAAATAAAATGATGTGATTCAAGATAAGTGGTAATTATAATTGTTGGAGTAATAAAATAGTAAATATGTAAATTCCTATATCCCACAAAAACATGCTTAATAAAATCAATATTACCAAGTTTTCTCAAATTTACTTTAATTTAATAATATTATATTTATTTTACAATTCTTTATCGAACAAATATACATAATGACTAATATAAATAATGTAATTAACATTTATTTATTTGAGATTTTGAGTGATATTTTAAGTTATTTTTAAATTCAAAACTTTTAAAAAATTAATTACTTGGTGGAAACCTTATTAGAGATCTTAAGTTCAAAAGTGGAATTCGGTAGTAAGATTTGACATATAATATTTGTGTTTGAATTCTCATAAATCTTAAAAAGTCCTAATGAATTTCAGTGTTAAAGTAATAAATTCTCTCACAACTTTTAAAAGTTTTCGAAATCTCAATTTAATAACTCAAGAATTTTAAAAACCATAAAAAGTCAAAACCTAGATGCACAAAAAATTTAAAATATTATTATTTTTAAAATCCTAAATGTATATACCCTTAAAAGCTATTATGTTTAAAAAAAAAAAACATGCCGATCTTTTCTACACCGAAACTTGTGCTATCTTCGTAAGATAGACTATACAAAAAATATATAAATTAATTATTAATTAGATAGTGTTTTGAAAAAAGAAAAAAAAAAAAGGTTGGAATAATTATCAGGAAAAACATATGTTGTATTAATGTTGCAATACCAACTTAGTGTATTAGTCAACCACAGATAAATTTGATTCCTGGCTACGCCACTGGCGACATTTCCCTTCATATCCGAGAAGTAGACAAGCCCTTGGTCCATTTCCCTTCATATCCGAGAAGTAGACAAGCCCTTGGTGGAGAATCGGGGCCCTACGCGATGGCAGGAATCTTGATTCCCTTTTTTGCACGAAGACCGACCACCCGTTTTTTCCGCGCCCGAGCACGTGAATCCTTGATACGTTTTCATAACTTGGAGTTTAGATCCCCAAAACCGTACAGTCCTCAGAGGTGGGTAGATGGAAAAACGAGACGGCAGTGAGATTGGGAGGAGTTTATAACCTAAGAAGTAAGAACAGAACAAAAGCTTGGAAAAAATTGAATCTTGCAATAACCTAAGAAGTAAGAACAGAACAAAAGCTTAAACCTTGTAGGAGAGAACCTTAAGAAAATTTAAGAATACCTGTAGAGTTAGCCGATAAAAAAACAAGATCAAACACGGATTGAAATCCAAACAAATCCAAATATACTATGCTCTAAATGTGGAATCTACTCAAACAAATCGATAAAAAAGAAAAGAAGAAAAAAATCAAACACTATGTAATGGATTGGAATCCAAACATACTATGATGTAAATGTGGAATCTCAGTTTCCAATTGGCTCAATTGGCTCAATTGGCTTGGTCTCTGAACAAAATGCACATGCATGATGCAACAGTATAATTCGTGAATGAAAGTTGATAGACAGGGTCCAAGTTATGAATCAGAAGGAAAAACATATATTTGAATATACGATTTTTTATTGTTTAAGTTAAAGGAACAAGTATGACTAAATAACAAGCAGTTCAATTTAACTTGGCAGCTAGATTACAGAATGTGTTACTGGTGATCACCTTGCTCGAAAGCAGTAGGTCCCATTGTTAGTATAATGAGGATACAAAGTCAAAGTAAGATGAACAAGATAATACATTCCCAAAGACATCATTAAGTTCCATTGATTTATTATTTTCTTGAGGCGGAATACACGTTTATCGTTTACTCAATTAGACTGTTTATGTCTCACTTGACCATAGATTTTGGGGCATTGGAATCAAAGATGCCTAGAGATGTTAAATGATCCTTGACCCAACGGACCGGCCCGTTTAGCCCGGAAAAAAACAAGGTTAGGACTTTTTATTGGTAGCCCGTTTAAATCCGAGCTTTTTAGGCCCGGACCGTTTAGCCCGAAGCCCGCTAGGACTAGCCCGAAAACCGCTAGGGCTAGCCCGTTTAACTTTGGTTGGGTGGTGTATATGTTTTTAGAAATGTAAGGAATATGTCTCATGATAATTATGAGTTATAATTATTATTATTATTATTTTGATATATAGATAATTATTAACAAATTTTATTCTATTTCACAACAAAATATTTAAACCAATCAGAACGGTTAATAAAAAATAAATGAAACAAAAAGCTAACACATAAAATATAGTGATAAAATATAAATTCAGCAGTATGTTATACTGTGAAAATTTCTGAAGTGTACCAAATAACTAGTCACATTGTAGTTATAAGTAATAGTTCGAACATTTTTTTTCTACTGAGAAACAATAGCTTATTTAAAAGTTTGAAATGTGTGTTTATATATGAAGTGTAGTTGTATATATATAATGGTAAATACGAAATAGTCGTCGAAAAAAACTGTTAACTAGGTGTTGTAATTTTTTTTTATTTTATTTTTATTATTATAACCCGTATAGCTTGTTTAGCCCGAAGCCCGCTAGGGCTAGCCCGAAACTGCTAGGGCTAGCCCGATTAACATCTCTAAAGATGCCGGTTGTACCTTCTTATGTTTGGTAAAACTAATTGATAGCTGATAAATTAGATTATAGCTTATTTGTAATTTTTTAGCTTATAACTTATACCTTATGACTTATAGCTGAAAAGCTAGCGTATATGATAAAAGTGTTTGGTAAAATTAGTTGATAAGCTAGCTGAAATAAAAAAATCAACTAGCTTATTTGAAAAGCTACCTAAAGTAGCTTATGAGATAAGCTCGAGTTTTTTAAAAAAGCTCGTTCTACCAAACAAAGCTTATTTAATTACATGGAGTTTATAAGCTAACCAAATAAACTATAAGCTAGCTTATTTGGCTTACCAAACAACAATTCCATAAAGTGTGCCTTCACTTGAGTTGGGGGTCAATACAGAAGAGGAATACCTTTAAGGCACTCGCATTGCACCCGTTTTGTGAGCGTTTAAACGGCCACCCCGTGTTCGCTAATTATTTTCGCTATCCGCAAGTGTACGGAGTAGCTATAGGTAGTGGCGAGCAAGGTCGTATTCCACAGAGATTGTAGTTAAATTAATTAAGTACTAAAATAACGACGATTAAATATTATCTAGACTAGTGAATTGAATGATGATTATAAACTAAGAATTAAACTAAAAACTAATTTATCTAAGCAAATAAAAATAAAATAAGATACAGAAGGTAGATTCTAGGTTATGCTTTCTTCGGAATTAATTCATGAAACGTTTATATTCAAACAAACCTTATTTAATTTTACCAATCGTAGAGATAATTGCTAAATTGATTTCAAACCTTTCTCTCGAACAAGTCAAATTGTAGATATTAATTGTTATCTATCTCCTCTCGGTCTCAAGATGAACAACTAACTCCCATAAATTCCTAGGATTTTCATTCTCTCGCAAGGTCCTATCAACCTCTCGGTCTGTTTATTCTCTTACGTTATAAATCTCCCAATTCTAGCAATCAATTATCTCCTCTCGGTCTCAAATCAATTACAAATATGCATTCATAGTGGCCATCTACTCACACAATAATAATAAGCACAAGAAATTTATAAACGAAAGATAAACCGGAATGAAATAAATAAAAACTAAATCATAAATCAATCCGAGTACTAACAAATCCTAGAATCTAATATAAATCTAGCCTAGAAACATGATTTCAAAATAATAAAAATAGATATAAAACATTGAGTTCGAAAGAGGAAAAG